GGGGCTTACCATCTGAAGGTCACGACTACCAGAAGTGCTCTCCACTAGATTTGGTCGTGCACGAACATCATAAATGATTGGCCTCTCAAACCATGGGATCATCAAGTGTGTTCCTTCTGGATAAACCTATACATCCAACATGAAAAAAAAAATGTAATGACAAATTTCTTATCATAAGATGGAATATATAAAAGAAAATTGAAGCTCTAGATTCATGGTAAAAGTGCACATACAAAAAGCTATAGGTGACCGAACAAATCCATTTGCAGATAGTGAGAATATATGAAAATTAAGGAACAACACATACATAGAGAATGTACCACAGAATTGAGGCACCATTTACCCATTGCTGGTGACGAATCGCGGAAATGCTAAGGATAAAGCAGACTTATTTTCTTAGTTTCAACATTTACACCAGGACAAAGGAATGCATGACAAAGTGATCCAAATCCTACCCACTTCTCTAATACTAATACAATTTGGAATTCAGAAATCACACATTGCTCTTTAATCAACTTGAGGTCAGAAACAATCAGGATCAATCAAAAGTAATATAAAGAATGAATTGCAAGATTTTATCAAACTGTGACATACCCAGGAAAATATGTTTCATAATGCTCATGTCAATTGTCCAAAAAAATCTCCCCTCTCTAGATGCAAATAAAGCAGAGAAAAGTCGCATATCATGTTCCACTTCTTTGACATGAATGCTTTTTCCGCATAATATTAAGTCATTAATAAAATGTATTTAAAGAAGGCGATTACTCCACTGTTGGAATTCTCTTGCAGCTCTGAACTCAAGGTGATAAGATGCAGTCACTTGCATTGCAACACAAGATGACAAGCTAGAAGAGAGATTATTAAGCTGAACTGCATCACATTCTAATATTTTTTATTATTAAATCCATTAAACTACAGAGACTTTAGTAGCATGGGCAAAAGGGAGGCAGTCTTTCCAGAAAGAGGTGTAGCATACAAGCCCTGAGCTGGACACAACATAAAACTTTATACAGCAAGCTGTAAATTATACCAATTGAGCTAGAAGCACAAACACCCAAGATTTTGGTCAGCATAATGGTTCATGTTAAACAAGAACAGACTACACAAGGAGACTGGACATCTAACCTTTTATCAACATTAAATTTTACAAGCAAAAACAGTCACAAGCTACTAATTTAGATGACATAAACAGTCAATTGAGCAAGTAGAGAGAAAAATACAACTAGGTATTGAAACTAATTTAAAGCATTACCATCATTCAAAGAAACAACTAAGCCCCTGTTTGGCCCCCATTATTTTACATTTTTGAGGGTTGAAATTTTTTAGAATAGTGATTGATGGGAGAATGTGTGGTTGAAAATTTTTTGATTTGTGTGTAATATTATTTTATTTGATGAATGTGTGGTTGAAATGAAGAGAGAGAAAAATTTAATGTAATGTAATGTAATGGGGGCCAAACAAGGGCTAAATGTCAAGTCTGCACTTAGAAATTGTGTGTAAGAAAAGACCTTATCTTTGATACCAACAATACGGTTGAAAACAACAGCTCGGTGCCCTCCCTCAACATTGTATAGACTGTTGGAAACTCCATACATGCCAATCCCAGCGATGACTCCCAATTTAATTAAAGCAGATGCAGCACCTCCGCCAGGCATCTTGGGAACCTTGACATTGTTCAGATTCATGTTCTGAACTTCTGCACGATAGCAACTTACAGTACTAACCAATCAAATATAATGCTTTATAAAAAAAGTTGATTCTTAAAATAGAACTTCCGGTCAATTTTAAAATAATCAAATGTATTGTATACAAATGACGAAGCATAACATGTCAAATTCCGATGAATATTGAGCTAAATATAATTGAAATACAGCTGTGAAAATTATAAGCCTAAATAGGCCTTCAAACAGGTAATGGAAAAAGTGTTCACTCCAAAGATATATATTTGACAACAAGGGAACACATTGCCTATTTTAAAGTAAAATCAAATGCATAGCATATAAATGGCGAAGTCTGAGCTCTTATATTTCTCTAGAAGAAGTTAAGTTATGTGCCTCAAAGAGACTTAACAATATACAATAGCAAAAGTGTCATCTTACTTTCGGAAAAAGAGTGTTTAACAAAAAGGAACACGTGTGAATTAAGGTGTTCATTACAAGGTAAGGCGATATTGTAACAATGACAATTGACAATTTTTTTTTCTCTCAAAGAACCGGTTAACAGTAGACTGAAAGACGTTAAATAAATAAGTTTTTCAGTGCAATATAAACGATAAAAATCAAAAGTCAAATCAATTACACTATGACCAGAATCTAGTTACGTGCAGGTTAAAATTTTCAAGCATCAAATGACCCAATAACATTTACCAAAAAATACACAGCTAAACAATAGTCTTTATTTCTTCTCCAGTACTGTGAAATGCAATATGAAACATCACAGCAGATTAATTATCCACAAAACGAGCACCAACCCCCTCACCAACACAAAGGAGTAGGAGAACAGCTAAGTATTCAAAAGTCAAAACTGTAAAAGAAAAAAGATGAGCAGTCAAACTCTAATATACTGCCGACCATAATTTCCGTCAGATCAGAAATCAAATTCACAAGTAAAATATCATATACAAACTTTAGACATGCATCCAAATTAATCGAGCTCGCGCATATGAACTCACGAACAAATTCATGGGTTCATCTAGGGAGATAAAGAGAAAAACGATATATCAGTACCTTTGATGGAAATGGAGATGAGAAATCAAAATCTGGATAAAATGAGAGTGAAAATAAAGGGGTTTTAGAGACCGAAATTGGGGAAGGGGTTAATCGTTTAGGGCTTTAGGGTATTTCGTAATTTCATATTTATTTTTTATTAATTTTTGAATAGTTATATTAATATATACTCGAATCATTTTTATTTTTTTTTTAATAAATAGTTAAGGGTTAATCAATTTGTACATAATGGATTGCCCCCTATCACATAATACACGGGCGTATTTAAAAATTTCGACAATATTGTCCACATCTCCATTGTGAGTAGTATATAAAAGATTCGGTAAAAAAATTCGACACATGTAGCATGATCCAATAGTTAAATACACCGCATTTTAATTATATTAAAGATCATTAATTTTTATTCATTATTACATTTACATCATTAACATTTTTCTTCATTACAATCTTATTTTCAACATAGCATTAATAAAAAAATGGTCCTTAATTATGGATTTCGTCTAAACGTATTGTTAACATGGGTCAAATAGTTAATCCCATTTTTCAGTATTATTTATTTTGCTTATTAAAAAATAAAATAGAAAAATGAGTTGTTTACTCTATTGTAAAGAAAATTTTGTAGAGAAACGAATAATTTATTTTAATTTGAGAAAAAGAATGCGATAAAAAATTTATCCTAAAAAGAAAATATTTTTCTTATTTTAAGGAAAACAAAAACGTACTTCCCCAAAGAAAATATGTTCCTTAAAAAAAAAAAAATTAGGCATAATTTCAAAAGTTGAAAAATATTTTCCATTAAAAAAAATAGCAATCAAATATTTCAAAGTAGGAATTTAGATGAAAAATTGGCATTTTTTATGGAAAATAAATGCAATCAAACACACCCTTATCCCTTTTTATAATTTTTAATTTAAAATAAATATCCTTATTATTTAAAATCGATAATTGATTTTATTTTTATTAAAGATCGACATTTTTTAAGAATTGCAAGTTAGGTAATATATGTGTACTGTGCTTCATGTAAAATGTTGCTAATTATTTCAGATTTTATTTAAAGTATTTTATGTTATGGTAGTTACTTTCTTATTAAAAAAAATAACAAATTAAAAACTGTTATAAAAAGAGAGAAAAGAGAATAAGAGAATAAGAGAAGTCAATATACTTGTGTGTATTATAATGAGAACCAAAACTCTATATTTATAGAAAATGAATAGGGATACACATGGTAATAATATTTAGGGTTGCAGGGGTACAAGTGTCAATCACACTAAACCCTAATTTACTTTCTTTTTACAATACTCCCCCTTGAATGACATATTACAAAATATCCGCCTCCTTAAAACCTTGTTTGATAAAAACCCAATGGGATAAAAAAATCAAAATGAAGGAAAAATAGTACATTTATTTTGGAGTATTAAAGATAAATGCCACCTCATTAAAACCTTGTTAGGAAAATCCAGTGGGATAAAACTCAATCAAGGAAAAAGAGTACAGCTACTCCCCGTGATATTGATCACTGAAAATCTTTGAGTCGACGCATTTCAACCCCTTGAACCAATTTCTTGAATGTAGATGTTGGTAGTGCTTTTGTAAATAAATCAACCAAATTGTCACTTGAACGAATTTGTTGAACCTCAATGTCGCAATTCTTCTGAAATTCGTGTGTATGAAAGAATTTTGAATAAATATGCTTCGTCTGTCACCTTTGATATAACCTCCTTTGAGTTGTGTAATACATCAGCATTATCTTCATACAAAATAGTTAAACTATATTTTGTTGAAATTAATCCGTATGATGCTTGGATATGATTGGTCATGTTCCTCAACCATACACATTCCCGGCCTGCTTTATGGATTGCAATAATTTCAGAATGATTTGAAGATATTGTTGTCAATGATTACTTCACAGATTTTCATGATATAGCCGTTCCTCCATGTGTAAACACGTATTTTGTTTGTGATTTAGTTTTATATGGGTCGGATAGATAATGTGCATCTGCATATCCCACTAAATTAGATCCCGATTTTTGAGAATAAAATAATCTCAAATCAATAGTACCATTTAGGTAACGAAAAATATGTTTAACACCATTCCAATGTTTTTGTGTTGGTGTAGAGTTATATCTTGCAAGGAGATTTACAGAAAAAACTATGTCGGGTCGAGTGCAATTTGTAAGATAAGTTCATGCTCCAATTGCACTAAGATATCGTACTTCAGGACTAAGAATCTTTTCTCCATCTTCAAGTTGACGAAAATGATCATTTTTTATATCAAATGATCGAACAACCAAATGTGAAGCCAATTGATGTGCATTATCCATATAAAATCGTTTCAAGATTTTTTCTATATATGTAGATTGATGAACAAATAATCCTTCTGGGAAATGTTCAATCTGCAACTCGAGACAGAATTTGGTTTTCCCCAAATCTTTCATCTCAAATTCATATTTCAAATATTTACAGTTTTGTTGAGCTCTTCAGAAGTTCCAATTAAATTTAAGTCATCAACATAAACTGCCACAATTGCAAATCCAATATGTATATATTTTTTTTTTTATGAAAACACATGGGTAGATATCGTCATTTTTATAGCTTTCTTTCAACAAATATTTGCTAAGGCAATCACATGCGTTCGGATTGTTTCAATCCATATAATGATCTTTGCAATTTAATTAAGAATATAGTTCTCGGGCATGTATCATTTGTTTCTCGCACTTTAAGTCTTTCAGGGACTTTCTTATATATGTTACTATCAAATGAACCATACAAATAGGCAGTCACCACATCTATAAGGCGCATTTCGAGCCTTTGTGACACGGTCAAACTAATTAAAAATCTAAAAGTGATGGTGTCCATTACAAGAGAATATGTTTCCTCATAATCAATTCATGGTCTTTGTGAGAAAACTTGAGCTACGAGTCGAGCTTTGTATCTTGTAATTTCATTATTTTCATTTATTTTTCGTACAAAAACTCATTTGTATCCAACATTGATTACATTTTTAGATGTCCGAACTACAGGTCCAAACACTTTCCGTTTCTCTAAGGAATTCAATTCCGCCTGTATGACTTCTTTCCATTTTGGCCAATCATTTATATTTTGACAGTCTTTAACAGACAATGGTTCAGAATCCGCATTTTGCATAATATCAAGAGCCACATTAAATGCGAAAATATTGTCTATAATAACATTATTTCGCTTCCATAATTTATGAGATAACATAAAATTTATTGAAATCTCATTATTTTCGGACACTTATGATTCTTCAAGAACCATATTTTCAATATTTAATTGATCAATTTTCTCTAATGTTACTTCTCTTGAAATTTTTTGTTGGTTTTTCTCTTGTACTTTTCTTTTTGAAGGTACAGAGTTTTTTGAACCAACTGGTCGACCACGCCTCTGACGTATTTGAGATTCATTTGTTACAGCAAATTGTCGTGTAGGGACATCAATTTTTGCTAAAATATTTTCTGCTGGTATATGTGACTTTATCATTTTCTTGTGTCAACAAATGCATTTGGTAATTGATTTGCAACAAATGAATGATTACATTGATTGCTGTGGGAATCAAAATGAGATGGAGTTGTTTCATTCCAAGAAATTTTACCTTGTTTATCATGATGTAATTTTTTCCCTCCCAAAATTGAGAAAATCATTTTATCAAATTGACAATTTGCAAAACGTGCAATAAAAGGCTCGAGATATCTAATAATAGATGGTGAATCAAAATTCACGTAAATTCCAAGTTTTCGTTGGGGACCCATTTTAGTCCGCTGTGGGGGTGAAATAAGGATTTGAATAGCACAACAAAAAACTCACGGGTGAGAAATATTAAGTTCATGACCAAATACTAGTTGCAAATGTGAATATTGATTATATGCAGTTGGTCTTATACGAACTAATGACGCAGTATGCAATATGACATGACCCCAAACAGAAGCTGTAAGTTTTATTTTCATAAGTAATGGTTTAGCAATAAGTTGTAGACGTTTAATAAATGATTATGCTAAGCCATTTTGTGTATGGACATGCGCGACCAAATGTTCAACAATATCCTAATTGACATGCAATAATCATCGAATGCTCGTGATATAAATTCACCAGCATTGTCAAGACGAATAGTCTTGATTGAGTAATTGGNTTTATCTTGTTTATCAGGATGTAGTTTTTTCCCTCCCAAAATTGGGAAAGTTGTTTCATCAAAATGACAATCTGCAAAACGTGCAGTAAATAAATCACCTGTTAAAGGTTCGAGATATCTAATAATAGATGGTGAATGAAAACCCACATAAATTCTAGGTCTTCGCTGGGGACCCATTTTAGTCTGTTGTGGGGGTGAAATAGAACAACACAATCAAAAACCCGAAGGTGAGAAATATAAGGTTCATGACCAAATACTAGTTGCAAATGTGAATATTGATTATATGCAGTTGGTCTTATACGAACTAATGACGCAGTATGCAATATGACATGACCCCAAACAGAAGCTGTAAGTTTTATTTTCATAAGTAATGGTTTAGCAATAAGTTGTAGACGTTTAATAAATGATTATGCTAAGCCATTTTGTGTATGGACATGCGCGACCAAATGTTCAACAATATCCTAATTGACATGCAATAATCATCGAATGCTCGTGATATAAATTCACCAGCATTGTCAAGACGAATAGTCTTGATTGAGTAATTGGGAAATTGCACACGTAATTTTATGAATTGAGTAAGTAGTCCAGCAAAAACTACATTCCTAGTGGAAAGTAGGCAAACATGTGACCATCTAGTAGAAGAATCAATTAATACCATAAAATAATGAAATGGTCTACATAGTGGGTGTATTGGCCCACATATATCTCAATGAATCATTTTCAAAAAAGTTGGAGATTCAATATTGACCTTTATAGTCGAAAGTCTAATAACTAACTTGCCTTGTGAACAAGTAACACATGGATAATCATTAGGTAAAAGAATCTTCTAGTTCTTTAAAAGATTTCCATGTGAGTTATTTATTATTTGTCGCATCATTATAGCTCCTGGATGTCCAAGTCGATCATGCCAAAATATAAAACTTTTTGAATCAACGAATTTCTGGTTTGCGATAATATTTGATTCGACCATTTTTATAAATGTATAATACTTGCCGATGGGAGTGCACAAATTTTTCTTTTATCTGCTTCAGGCCA